GCCTACTGAGTGCCCAGCTCAAGGGTTTTCCCCTTTTCCTACACTCAAACTTGGGGCTCCGGGACTACCAAGTGAATCCTTCTGCCCCCTTACTGCATCTCACACGCCCCAGCCGCCTGGAACCTGGGCCGCTGCCTGGTGATGACTGGACCATCTTCCAATCCAATCATAGCACATATGAACCAGTGCTTCTTGCCAGCCTTCGGCCAGCTGAATCCCCTGTGCCAGGACCAGTGCCTCGCCGGACCCGGCTTCCCACTGTCGTACAAGACCTGGGGCTTCATGATGGCATCCAGCGGGTGCTCTTTGGCCATGGCCTTTCCTTCTGGCTCCACAAACTTGTTTTTGTTGATGCTGTTGCATACCTCACTGGCAAGCGCCTCTGCCTAGACCTTGACCGCTACATCTTGGTAGACATTGATGACATCTTTGTGGGCAAGGAAGGTACCCGCATGAAGGTGGCTGATGTTGAGGTCAGTCTTTTTCCTGACTCAAATTTCTTTCCTTAGAAGCTGTTTCAAGCTCTGTCCTATCAAACTCCTTTGATTCTGAGCTTGTCATAGGTATACTCCCTGCCCTTTTCAGGCAGGAAGAACATTACTTTTCATTTTTCTCCTGATCAGTCTGCTCTCATGATTTCTTGTGTTCCTGCTACTCTTCCCAGGCTCTGTTGACCACCCAGAACAAACTCAGGACCTTAGTCCCCAACTTCACTTTCAACTTGGGCTTCTCGGGCAAGTTCTATCATACTGGTGAGTGTATTCCCCTGTTCCTTCAGCATATCTGTCTTAGTTTGGACTGTCCCTTCACTGTTCATCTTCCTGGGCAGGCAAGTTGGAGAAAAGGGGCAGGGTTTGGGGTCAAAATATGGTGAGGAGCTAGCGGTGGATATGAATTTAGGTTAGCATGGGTGGCTGAAGAGCAAGTCAGCAGTGGGGCAAAATAGTCTCAGGTGGGCAGAAGTCAGCAATCTTATCCCAAGAATGGAAGATGGTCAGTGTTGTTACAGAACAGAGGAGGGCACAGGGCCTGACTGGCTGTGGTCAGTGGTCAGTGTGTGGTCATAGGGACAGAGGAGGAAGATGCAGGGGACGACATGCTGCTGAAGCACCGCAAAGAGTTCTGGTGGTTCCCCCACATGTGGAGCCACATGCAGCCACACCTGTTCCACAATCGCTCCGTGCTGGCTGACCAGATGAGGCTCAACAAACAGTTTGCTCTGGTGAGACCCTTGGATCTGTTCCCCATACTTTTTCCCAGACATAATGATTCCTTTTCAACCTTCCCCTAATGGGGTGCCCTTTCCCTACCCTTTCCATTTGTCTTTCTGTGGAGGTATCCCCACCCTCTTTACCCTCTACTCCCTGAACCTCACCAGGTCCTGGTGAGAATCTATGCCATTCCCAGGAACATGGGATTCCCACGGATCTGGGGTATGCTGTGGCCCCCCACCACTCGGGTGTATACCCCATCCACACGCAACTCTATGAGGCCTGGAAATCTGTGTGGGGCATCCAGGTGACCAGCACTGAGGAATATCCCCATCTCCGCCCTGCCCGCTACCGCCGTGGCTTCATTCACAATGGCATTATGGTGAGGGACCCCTGATACAAACCTGAATCAAACTCCTACATTTAGACAGCCACCAACCTGCACTGACCTGTGTCCTCTCAACTGCCAGTCCAAGTTCACATAATAGGGGGTAAAGGGGTGAAAAGTCATAATGCACATAGTAAGAGTTTTATTGGTGTAACTCAGTACTTTACAAACCCAGGGAATCCTAATGCCTTAGGTCTTTTGTCCCTTATTTATTTTTCATTCTGCCTTTCAAATCTCATGTTAGTTTGTTTTTTCCTTCTTCTTCTAGGTATTACCACGGCAGACATGTGGACTCTTCACTCACACAATCTTCTATAATGAATATCCTGGAGGCTCTCGTGAACTAGACCGGAGCATCCGAGGTGGAGAGCTCTTTCTGACAGTGCTGCTTAACCCGGTAAGGTGCTGAGAGGAAGGGCTAGAAGATTGGAGAGCTGAAGTGTATGTAGGCTGGGAACTTTGCTCACCAAGCCTGATTCTGAGGTGGGGTAGGCTCTCTAATTCTGACACGCAGGCTCCCTCTTGCAGATCAGCATTTTTATGACCCATCTGTCAAATTATGGAAATGATCGGCTGGGCCTGTATACCTTTGAGAGCCTGGTGCGTTTCCTTCAATGCTGGACACGGCTGCGCCTACAGACCCTTCCTCCTGTCCCTCTTGCACGAAAGTACTTTGAACTGTTCCCTCAAGAGCAAAGCCCCCTTTGGCAGGTATGGTTGGAGCTCAGGCTGACCAGAGACGTGATGGGGGTGGAGAGAGTTGAAGAAAAGATGAAACATCTGATTCTTGGCCTCACCTTCAGAATCCCTGTGATGACAAGAGGCACAAAGATATCTGGTCCAAGGAGAAAACCTGTGATCGGCTACCCAAGTTCTTGATTGTGGGACCCCAGAAAACAGGTGAATCGTCCTTAGCCAACTTCTCTTGCCCTGCCTTAAGCCCAAAGGATTCTTTGGCCAAGGAATTCCCTTCTCATACCCACCTCGCCTTAATCCAGTCTCTTGAGACAGTGATTCTTAATCCTGAATCAGAATCATCTGTGGTTTGTTTTTTTTAAAGATCCACAAGTGATTCTGATGCAGTCAAGGCTGAGAACTACTATTTTAACTTCCCTGGGTCTCGCTGTCTTTTCCTTCTCTCACTCTAGTTTGTCCAAAGGGGATATTACTACTCAGAGTGGTTATTTTCTCACCTCCTTAAAATTCATATTGTTGATCTGGCTTCTTTCCCAAAATAGCCTCGACCTTCTCTCCCATTTAGGGACCACAGCTATTCACTTCTTCCTGAGCCTGCACCCAGCTGTGACTAGCAGCTTCCCTAGCCCCAGCACCTTTGAGGAGATTCAGTTCTTCAACGGCCCTAATTACCACAAGGGTATTGATTGGTGAGACTGGGACCCTTTGTAATGCTTCTCAGAGGAACATTCCCTTCCCTCCAAATCCTCATCCCAGCTTCCACCAGTGCAGGTATCTGGCCCCTTCATGCTGCAAATTCTCTGCCTCTCCTCTGTGCTACTTCCTAGGTACATGGACTTCTTCCCTGTCCCTTCCAATGCCAGCACTGACTTTCTCTTTGAAAAAAGTGCCACCTACTTTGACTCAGAGGTTGTACCACGTCGGGGGGCTGCCCTTCTGCCACGAGCCAAGATCATCACTGTGCTCACCAACCCTGCTGACAGGGCCTACTCCTGGTATCAGGTGAGCCTGAAGCTAGGGATACATTAGGGCTTAAGTGAGGGAGGTGGTGACTGCTAGAGACAGAAAGGAAGAGGGTAGGGAAACTAAATTGCTTTGGTGTGGGATTCCTATGCTGTGTATTCATCAGATCAAGAGTAGGGCAGAATAATTGTATCAAATCACCCATCCTTTCCTATTCCTTGTCCTTCAGCACCAGCGAGCACATGGAGACCCAGCTGCTCTGAATTATACTTTCTACCAGGTGATTTCAGCCTCCTCTCAGGCCCCTCTGGCACTTCGCTCCCTGCAGAACCGCTGTCTTGTCCCTGGCTACTATTCCACCCATCTGCAGCGCTGGCTGACTTACTACCCCTCTGGACAGGTACATGCCCCCCAGTAGCCTTTGTTGGGGTCCCCCTTCCCTTCTTTGTCCCTTCAGCCTAGAGGCTTCTAAGGAATACAGAGGGAACTACATCTCTGTCCCTTTAGTTGCTGATTGTGGATGGGCAAGAGCTGCGTACCAACCCAGCTGCCTCAATGGAGAGCATCCAGAAGTTCCTGGGTATCACACCCTTTCTGAACTACACACGGACCCTCAGGTGGGAGAGCATGACCCAGGGGAGGAGGAATCGGGGAAATGGGGAAACAGGTTGACCATGTCTGTTTGGAAGAGACATGTGTCCCTGTGAGCTGGGAGAGGTAATATACATTTATGGGGCTTGAATTTTCTTTTCTCCCTACCAATTAATGCCCTTTTGCTATTGAGCAGGTTTGATGAAGATAAGGGATTCTGGTGCCAGGGACTTGAAGGTGGGAAGACTCGTTGTCTGGGCAAAAGCAAAGGCCGGAGGTATCCGGATATGGACACTGAGGTGAGTAAAGCCTCAGACAAGGTATCCCTCTCTACCTCTGAGGTCTCATCCTGCGTCCCACTCCTTACCATTTCTGCCTCCATTTTTCTCCTCTCAGTCCCGCCTTTTTCTTATGGATTTTTTCCGGAACCACAATTTGGATCTGTCGAAGCTGCTAAGCCGGCTTGGACAGCCAGTGCCCTCATGGCTTCGGGAAGAACTGCAACATTCCAGTCTGGGCTGATGTCCAGGCCTCCTGTACCAGCAAAAGCGCCCTGCTACCCTAAAGGGCAAGCCCAGAGCAGGGCCCACAAGGGGTATTAGAGTGGCCCAGCCCCTGCCCCTTCTACCTCAGTGGCCCCCAGGCCTGGGATGGCTGAGAAGGAAAGGGCAGTCCTTTCCTATAGCTCTAGGGTCTTATAAAGGGGCTTCCCTTGATACCCCACATCATGGTACTAGGCACCTTCAACCCATGGTCTTTGAAGGTGGGTGAGAATGAAAGGGTCCAGGCAAGGTGTAGAGGAACTTATTAATCCAGTGATTTCCCTCTTCATTCTCAGCAGTATATCTATCTATACCTGGCTATGGGAGGGACCCCCCCCTACTGTGGGATCAATGGGATCTACCTGTGGCCCGGCCTCCCTAATGTCATTCACATTGAATGGGGATGAGGCCGGACAGTGGCTCATAGAGCTGAGTATGAGCCCTAGCTGTGGGCTAGAAATGTCCTTAATAAACATCCTTATTTTTCTGTTTTGTCTGCCTCACTGGAGTGGGAGAAACTTAGAATAAAGGAAGTATCAGTCTTTTCCCCCACCCCGGTTCAAAGTTCATCTGCACATGGAGGGAAAGAAGGCAAAGGCCCAGGCGGACTAGAGTAAAAAAGGAGTTTATATATTTATAAATGCCAAATAAATACCAGAGGCCACCCAATGCCCCCTCCCAGATAGGGCTGTCTCCCCCAACCCTAGGCTTCTAGGGTTTGAGACATCTTGGCCCCAAGCTACAGCCCAAGAGCAGCTGCCAGTCTGGGCTACCAGAGAACTGAGTGGGGATGATCTGTCCAGCCAAGATTCACTCCCTCTGTGTGAGGGGCCCCCATAGCCACAGGCCTGTATCCCTGTATAGGACCCTAGAGGGGCCAGACTCATGGGGAGAAGGTGGTCATCTCGAGTGAGACCCGCTGCCACAGCTCCTTGGTCTGTTTGCTGCGCTTGAGGTTCTGCAGGATGTCGTTGAACTGCATCATGCCCATGGGTGTCAGACAGAAGGCGCTGCGGGCACTGCGGATCGCATTCACAAAGTCGTCGTAGTCGGCAGGGGTCAGGTGAATCAAACGGTGGTGAATGTACTGGAAGAGGATGAGACACTAAGCACAGAACCAGGCCCGTCCTCCCTAGCATGCGGGGTAATCAGTTCCATGCCTGCCCAGGAGGTGCTCCACCCTACTCCATACTTCCAGGGTTGTCACCTGCATGTATGCCTGCTGGCAGCGCTGCACCAGTTGGTGGAAGGCCGGGGCACGCAGGTGGTTGTGGGCATGAGCAGGGCTCAGCCGCTGCAGCGTCTCCATGACGATCTCCTGCAGCACAAACGGGCTCAGCACCCCCTTGGCTGCCCCCACACAGAACTGGTGCACGTAGTTCACTCCTGGGGGGCAGGGGGAGGGGCATGAGACGGGGGTGGCCACCTCTGCCCTAGGGACCCAACTTTTATCTCTCAGCTCTGGCCTGGCAGAGAGCCTCCCTCCACCCCAGGAGCTGAGGTAACCCCCCACCCCCCGCGCACGCACACATACCCGACCAAGGCCTCAACTCTGAGCAAGAGCTAGGAAGGAGGTCTGGGACAGGAAGGTGGGGAAAGTGGGTGGGGGCGGACAATGGTCCTGGGGAGGGGAGGTGTTACCCAGCTTTGCTGCCAGCCCCAGCAACCATTTGACATCATCAGTGTAGGGGGGGGAGCGGGAGAAGTTGTTGGGGTGATCGTTGTGTGCCCGGCGACCCAGCATCTCCAGTGCCAGCATTCCTGGGAGAAAAGGGTGGGCACATAGTGAAGGTACATCCTTTTCACCCTGCACCTCAATCTGGTACATCGGACCCCACAACAAAGTAAGAGCTATGGGGAGGGAGGCATCACTAAAGAGCCTCTGACACAACTGCAGGTGGGGGCACAAAAAAAAGACCTCTCACCAACACGGTAGGCAGCGTGCAGGTGGTGTAGGCTGTGTGGGTTGACAGGCTGACTGTGGGTCTCCTCCTCGGGTGGTGGAAACCCTCCGCTCACCAGAGGGCTGGGCTGTGTAGTCAGAGCAGGCAACGAGGCACCCTGGATGGCTGGAAACGTGGATGCTGGATGGACACTGCTCACTGAGGGTGGGATGAAAGCTATATGAGGAATTCACAGCCCAAAGAGGGATGGAGAGGGTTCCTCCCCCCATCTCCCCTGCCCAGTGTACCTCCCCTCCATTCACCTGT